TTTAGACAGAGTCTTACCCTGTCACCCAGGCTAGAGTGCAGTGGCGCAATCTTGGGTCACTGCAACCTCTGCCTCCCAGGTTCAAGCAATTCTCCTGCCTCAGTCTCCCAAGTAGCTGGAATTACAGGCGCACGCCACCATGCTCAGCTAAGTTTTGTATTTTTAGTATGGGGTTTTGCCATGTTGGCCAGGCTGGTCTTGAACTCCCAACCTCGTGATCTGCTGTCTCAGCCTCCCAAAGTGCTGGGATTACAGGCGTAAGCCACTAAGCCTGGCCTGTTTTCTTTTCTTTAAAATGTGCCTGTCACCTCTGACCAGCCTGGCCAAGGTGGTGAAACCCAGTCTCTATTAAAAAAAAAGAATTAGCCACCCACGGTGGCTGGCACCTGTAATCCCAGCTACTCGGGAGGCAGAGGTTGCAGTGAGCTGAGATGGTGCCACTGCACTCCAGAATGGGCGACAGAGCGAGACTCCGTCCCAAAAAAAAAAAAAGTATCTATCGCCTCCTAGGAACATGAATAAAGTAGAGAAGATTCGGAAAAGCTCCCTGAGCTCCTGGAGTAACGGGAACTGTGTGAACTCAAGGCATATTATTAGTAAGGTTCTTATTCTAAGAGGCTTAGACTTTTTATGACCCCTACAGGATTCAGCACCACACAATCACTGAACAGCAGTGTGTGCTGGGACAATGTACAAATACATTCCACTCACAACTTAAAAAACAGCACGCCATTCTTAATATGCCCAGGACTCCACCCACTGTTCCTTTCCATCCCGCTTAATCAGAAAAACAAATTTCAGATATGGTTGTAGTAAAGCTTATTTGCTTTCGTTTAGCCTATGCCTTGTTCTGTTGGAAGCCTTCAAAATATCTAAAAGACATCACAAAGCGTAAGTTCTAGAAGAGGCTATGCATTTGTAGGAGTTTTCATCAGGAATGGCCATGACAGGCCCAGTTAACACCTATATTCCAAGTAACAACAACATCAAATATTTCTGTGGCACTCGCTGCTTAGCACGTCAGTGTTTAGTTGTCTATGACTGCTGTCTCTGCCTCAGTCTGCATATCGTCTTCTCCCCAGTGTGTCAAATCTCCCTCTGCTTATCTCTAATAAAATGCTTTTGATTGCATTTAGGCCCACCTGGAAAATCCAAGATAATTTCCTAATCTTAAATTAAGTCAGTCCTTAACTTAATCACAGCTGCAATGACACTGTTTCCATGTAAAGTAACACGCACGGGTTTCCAGGATAAGATGCAGATATCTATTGCTGCATCGTATTCCAGCTGATCACAACATCCATGATCTGATACAATTTTCAGCAAATGAGTGAGTTTAGCAGAACATGTGTTGCTCCCGTGACAGAGATGATAAAACTGAGGCTTAAAGGGAGCAAGTGAATTATTTCAGCTCAATCCGCGTGTGACAGGTGGAGCTGAGACTCAGGCTTGAGAATTCTCACACTGGGTCCCATGATCTTAGCTCTTTATATTTTAATGTGTATCAGAACTACCTAGGGAGCTTGTTTAAAATGCACATTTCTGAGCCACTCCAGCCTACTGCCATCCTACTGAACAGACTCTCTAGGGGTAGGACTTAGGTATCTGCATTTTCTCCTCCCTCCCTCCCTCCCTCCCTCCCTCCTTCCTTCCTTCCTTCCTTCCTTCTGTCACAGGGCCCAGGTTGGAGTGCAGTGGTGATGCAGCCTTGACTTCACTTCAGCTCCTGAGTAGCTGGAACTACAGGTGCATGCCGAAACGCCCAGCTAATTTTTTATTTTGTACAGATGGAGTTTCAATGTTGCCCAGGCTGGTCTCGAATTCCTAGGCTCAGGTGATCTGCCTGCCTTGGCTTCCCAAAGTGCAGGGGTTACACGCGTGTGCCACTGCACCCGGCCACGTATCTGCATGTTTAAGCGCCCGCTTCCCCTCTTCCAGCGCAGGGGATGTACCGGCTGCATGTACTTGGCCCAGGGTAAACTGGTTCCACAGCTACAGAAATGTTCCGAGGCAGGCTGAGGGGAAGAAAGCTCTCACAGAGCCTTGGGAAAAGCTAGGGAAGCATGTCCTTGGTCATGGAGGTCCGTCAAAGCTGGATGAATGGACAGCCATTTCATTTGTATGTTATGGGGGGGTTAGGGCTTGAACCAAGGGTAGCATGGCACCATCTCTGGAGCACACTGTTTGCCCTCTGGAGCCCAGGACTGCCTAGGAAGCTACAGCCTTGAGGCTTGGGCTGCTGACCATTCCATTCCCTCGGGCTGCCAGAACTCTTGCTCTGTCAGATATTCTAGTGAAGCTGCACTTAATGTCAGTCCCCGATCTCTCATGGAGAAGGTATGTGCAACAGGGCTGTCTGATGAAACAAGTGCCTTTTTGGTACCAGGATCTCGAGCCTCCTTAGGAACCCCTGGTTTGATAGCTTGTGGGGTGGAGCTTCCCCTCCCTGAGCCTGAAAGTATAAAAGCACAGTTGCAGCAGCCTAGCTGGATCACTGGTCAGGGAGCACTGGCCATGGGTCTCTGTGGGGGCAGTTCCTAGAGAGCCCACCCTATGTTGCTCCTGAATCTTCCAGGGGTTGACATGAGGGGGCCAAGCTGGAAATTTTGGTGATAGTGATTCAGAGGGTCTGATGGGGTGTTTCCCGGGAGCCCTGGTCAAGGGACCACACCTACTGTGGAAATCCACCGAGGAATGTGCCAACATCTGGCTCAGATGAGGTTGGGACTTTTGGGTTTTATAGCAAGTAAGGCCTTCTTCCCTCTTAAAGAGGCAGCGTAGTGTTATGATTACAAGCAGGGGTTTGGAGCCAGATCACACATTTGAATCCTAATTATTAGTAGGGGGATCTGGAACAAGTTACTTAAAGCTCCCTGTGCCTCAGTTTCCCTATCTATCAAATGGGGGCAACCCAAGCACCTGCCTTGTAGGCTTGGAATGACCAGACTCTACCTGCCCTGCCTATCACAGTTAACCGCTGCCTCCTCACTTTTCCCCCAGTGCATTTTGGCCTGCCATCAATACTCCATGAGTTTCCTCTGGGCCCATTTACCTGTGTGACTGGTCACTATTTCTTTAAATGCATGATACAGCAGGAACTTCCTGTTTCACCCCTACCATTGTGAATTCACACTTACAGACTTTTATTAAAATTCGAGTTGTCTAATGCATGAGATCACGAAAGAATAAAGTTTATTTTTTTTAAGGTCTAGCAATGATGAAGAAGGTTGCCATAGCAACAAACTGAAGATTTTGAACATGTGGCATTTCAAAGGCCAGGGACACTGCTAGAGCCACCCTTTCAAGATCAAAGTTTTAGCTCTTTACACACAACAAAGGGCGCCAAGCTTGCTGGAATGATCACCCACCCTGCAGTACAGGCAGGCGGGAGGCACAATGGTTTGAAAACTGAGGGTTACTAAGGGTCAATAGAGAGAGCAAGCTCCAAAGACTGGCCTTGCAGAAACAGCTCTCCCCTGGTCTGGAAAAGGGAAGCTGAGCTGGCTGGCCATCGTCATGGGCCAAGTCTTTCCAAACAGAAGACAGCCATTCCCTCTTGTATAGGTGGGCATCCTGAACCAACCAACTTCCTGCTGTCAGTGACAGAACTGTAGTTAAAAATACTGGGCATACGGCTGGGTGCAGTGGCTCATGCCTGTAATCCCAGCACTTCGGGAGGCTGAGGTGGGCGGATCAGCTGCGGTCAGGAGTTTGAGACCAGCCTGCCCAACATGGAGAAACCCCGTCTCTACTAAAAAAAACAAAAATTAGCCGGGCATGGTAGCACATGACTGTAATCCCAGCTACTCGGGAGGCTGAGGCAGGAGAATTGCTTGAACCTGGGAGATGGAGGTTGCAGAGAGCCGAGATCACACCATTGCATTCTAGCCTGGGCAACAGGAGTGAAACTCTGTCTCAAAAAAAAAAAAAAAAATACTGGGCATACACAGAACCCTAGCTCTCTCACAGTTCAAGGACTGCAGGCCTTTTTGCTGCATTTACCCACACAAAGAGAAAGGAGAATTGCTTCTTTGCTTCACTAGACTTCATCTGGCTAGAAAAATCAATACCAAAAAACAGTGCCCAAATCTAAGACAAGGTCCTACCTGGAAGCAGATCTTGCCAACCCACATGGTTTTGAGCTTATCATTGCCTGGCCCTTTCTCCCCATTGCCCTTGTTTACAGCAATTCCCTGGAGCAGTTTTCACGTAGCCAGAAGCACAGTCCATCCCATCTTAACTTGATCATGTCCTGCCAACCTCCTGACTACCAGCAAGGCATAGTAATTCCCCAAATCTGTGACATGCTCTCCTGTCCACTCACATTACACAGTCCCTCCTTCAAGACTCTTTGCAAAACTGGCTCTGGTTTTAGGGACTCCTGAGAAAGACTAGTCCTTGCTGGCCCCAGGACGCCATCCCTGCTGGCCCCAGGCAGCCCCATATGCTGGACTCCAAGGCCTACACTCAGGAAGCACAGACCTCAGGGAGCACCCCCTGTCTACCTCTGCTCAGACCTCAGGGAGCACCAGCTGGGTGCCTCTGCCCTCAGAGCCTGTCCTTAGCTGGTGCTGAGCCCCATGCCTTGGGCCGTTCCACTAGCCTTGCAGTTCTGACCTCACCTGACTTCAGAGAACCCACCTCTGGCCTGCTGGTCTCTAGCAGTGCTGATTTTTGAACCAAAGTGCCGGAGATTGGGGTATATCTAGTCCACAGATGACAGTTAAAACCACAAGAGTTAATGAAATTGTCCAGGGGCAGCATATTCAGTGGGAAGAGGGCAGAGCACAGAGCCTTGGAGATCATAGACACTCAGGGGCATGAGGAAGAAGAGAATCGCTGAAGGACACTGTCTTGGCTTCCTGTGGCTGCTGTAACAAATTACCTTGATTTAGTGGCTTAAAACAACACACATTTATTATCTGAGTTCTGGAGCTCAGAAGTCTCCAATGGGTCTGCATGGCTGCATTCCTTCTGAGGGCTCCAGGAAGCATCCATTTCCTTATGCTTTCCAGCTTCTAAAACCACCTACATCATTTGGCTCATGTCCCCTTCTCCATCTTCCAAACCAGCAGCAGAGCATCTTCAGATCTCTTTGTCCCTGTCCCTCCACTTCCATCATCACATCCCTTTCTGTCTGACTCTGATTCTCCTGTGTCCCTCTTATAATGACCCTTGGGATTATATCAGGCCCACCTGGATTATCCAGGATAATCTCCCCCAGCTCAAGATTCTTAACTTGATCACATCTGCAAAGTCCCCTTTGTCATATAAAGTGGCATTCACAGGTTCCAGGGATTAGGACATAGGCAACCTTGGGGTGAGGGGGCATCATTCAGCCTACCACAGAAACTAAGCAGGGTGAGTCCGGTGGGAAGAGTCAGGGTGACAGACCTGAGGAAGCCAAGGGAGTGTGAAGAAGGGTGTGATCCCCAGGGAGAAATGGGGGTGATCCCAGGGAGAAACGGGTGCAATCCTAGGGAGAAATGGACACAATTTCAGGTCATGATCCTCAGGGAGAAACGGGAGCAATCCCAGGGAGAAATGGGCACGGTTCCCAGGGGAGAATCGGTGTGATCCCCAAGGAGAAATGGTTGTATGG